TACCCTTTAAATGTCATTATTTCTAGTATTAAGCTTATTATTTGGTTTTAAAATTTTAAACTATTTGGCACCTGTTTATGCACATGAGCATACTATTCCTTATGTATGTGAGTATACCATTCAAAGCAACATAGCAGTGATTTGACATATTCTTTAGTCTTAAATTGCTTTCTAAGCACATGAAAATTGTAATTAGTGATTTGTATAAATTAAAATAAGTAAAATATATCAACTGTACATATTCACAGATTTGTGTCTGTATAATAATAATATAGGAGTCCTGGTATGGTGCTGTAGGATAAGCACTTGACTGCTAACCACAGATTGGCGGTTCATATCTACCAGCTGTTGCATGGAAGCTCTATACAGGGCTGCTATGAGTCAGAATGACTCAACGTTACTTAACAACAACAATACTAATAGTAATACTTACACAGAATGTATAATATGCAATGCACTATTCTAAGCCCTTCATAAATGTTAACTCATGAATCTTCACAACAACCCTGTGAAGTAGAGACTTGTTCTATACCCATTTTCTTTAGGAGAAACTGAGGCTCAGATGAGTAAAGAAACTTGCAGAAATTAGAGTTATTAATTTGCGGTGCTGGAGTTCTGATTATGTAGTCTGGGTCAGACCAGTGCTTTTAACTACTTTGCTGTGCTACCTTTTGATAATACATACAGAAAGGACATATTTGTAGAGTAGATATCTTTTTATGTACACATATAAGGAATTGGATGTGATTTTGTATGCTAAATACATATTGAATTATTTTAAAAGATATTCTTTAATAGTGGTTAAGGCCTAAAAGATGTATAATTTAACTGTTTTCTATGCTTACTCTTTTTTGTTATATGGCCATTTGCCCATGCCCCATTATCATTGAGCAGATCCTGATTCATAGCCACCCTATAGGATACAGTAGATCTATTTGACTGGGTTTCTGAGGTTGTAAATCTTTATGGGAGCAAACGGTCTCATATTTCTCTCATGGAGCAACTGGTGGGTTTGAACCACCAACCTTGTAGTTAGCAAACCAACGGTTAACCCACTGAACCACCAGTGCTACTTCTATGGCTACTACCTACCCACCCATTGCCATTGAGCTGGTTCTGACTCATAGCAACCCTGTATAGGTTTTCTGAGGCTATAAATCTAAATGAGAGCAGAAAGTC